TCGAGCCTGCTGATTGGCTCTCTGGTACCCTCCAAGATCGTCCGCACCTGTTCAAAAAAAAAAAAAAAAAGGGATCAAGCCTTCTAACATATATATATATATATACACTCATACACAGAGAGAGAGAGGGAGAGAAGGGGGAGAGCGATCCCTCTYGACGGGAGCTGACACAATGGGATTTCTGCCTAGTGCTCTGAAGGATAAAGCGAAGAGATTCAACTGAGCGAGGGTAAATGGCTGGAGTAACTATGACTCTCTCAAGGTAGCCAAATGTCTGTCATCTAAATAGTGATGCGTATGRATGGATTAACGGGAACTCCCACTGCCCCTATTCTGCCAACCTGCAAAGCCACAGCAACTAGTTGGACGAAGATCAGAGTTGGACTTCGGTGGTATGAGACTGTGGTACTTACCGGATTGGAGGTTTGGAGATTGTTGGGGCTGATACTTGACGACAACCGTTCAGACACCGATTACATTTGGACTCTGTATCACCGACATTGGTGACTTATGGTCCTCGACTTTTTGATCTGGTTGGAGGACATTTTGGACTACTATATCGGCGATCTATCCGATCCTATCTCGGTGACTTTCGGTGTTATCTACCCCCCCCCCACCTCTTCGTCTCTCCTCCCCCATTCATGTGTATGTGTGAACGGGGCTGACCGTCTTCTATGTATGGCTCAGACCCCACAATCTCAGGATTGTATGTGTGTGGAGTGACACTATGCGAGACAGTCTGTGTGAGTCAGTCTATGTGAGTCAGTCCGTTTCCCAGACTTCTCCATTGAAGCTGTAAGTGTGCAGAATTACGAGCAGTCTGTTAAACTTGTGAAATTACCGGTTGACTGATGAATTCTTCTTCCGTGTGAACCCGCAGAAACAGGGTGCATGATACTGCGCCCCTCAACATTAATCCCCTGCCGATCGTTGAGGACCTCGGAAGCGGGCGCGGCGAAGTGACAGGCGCCGTGGCCCATGGCTTTGACGAACGGTAGGCGCCCCTCCCCGGGTTTCCCCACAACGTGCTGGGAACCGGGCCCAGCATCCCATATAAAATGATACAAAGGATTTGGAATACCAGGGCCATTACGTGGCTTCGGCTGAGAACAATCTGAGAATTTGGCTAAGAACAATTTGAGAACTACAAAAAGAGTTCAGGAGAATTTTAAGACAACCTGAGAATTTCAGCTAAGAACAATCTTAGAACTACGAAAGAAGTTCATGAGCATTTTAAGAAACCATGAATAATTGTGGACCTATCGACCTATTGCTAGGTTACTCAATCCGCAGTTACTAAGTCCTTTTATTTTTGAAAATATTTGGAAAGGCTTAGAAAACTATATGAGCGGGGGGTCAAAACTGACAAAACCTACTATCCGTAATTTCCCCTTCAACAGACGGAAAGTCTGTCCAGGCTTTCAGTCCACGTACCAGAACTCACTTGATCTCATACCCCCTTCATGCTAGGGTAACAGGGCACCACAACCTTCCCCAGTACTGACCAACCTAGTTCTGACGGACAGGAAGTGCCTTCCTCCCTCGACACTTCCTTTAACGATAAGCCCCTGACACAGGTTACAGGGTTAATACCTCGGCGCCCGGTACGTCGAACGATCTCGTAATGCCTTCCACCCTCAGCATAACTCCACAAGCCCCAAGCCACCCCTAGGTCATAGAGCAAAAGCTCCAGCACCGGCCTGCGTCGTCCCAGCTTCGTTCTTCTGACCTACTTGCCTAACAGGCATTCCTTTATTGAGAGTCCTCCTGACTAGATCCCATTCTCCGGTTCTACCCCCCCCCTTGCCCTCCTTCAGAAAAATTTGACTCAGACAAAGCAGAGAACACCCCTTCTACCCTCACGAAACGAGAGGGAGGGAGGGAAAAATCACCCCTCATCTTGTGGCGGTTCCGGTGTTTATTAGAAACTCAAATATTCATGAAGAACTCACAAAAACTTCCCGAGATTATTCCTCCCTCAAAAATATCCCTCTGTCCTTACACTGCCTCCGTCGGAGGGTGCCCCCTCACCACACTGGCCCAGTTCAGAACAACCCCCTAAACGGCCATTCCCGCTCCCTCAGCAACATACAATTCCCCCTAGAGTATGCCCCCCCAAAGCTGGAGTTCCCCCTTTCCTCCTATCCCACCCCCTCCCCGGGAAACAGCCCTCTCTACCTCTCATCTTGCTAAGTTCAGCACCCCTTGTCCACTCTCCCCAACCACCATACTGATCCGACCCGAAAATCAGCACAGCCCAGAAAAGGACAATCCCACAATATCGCCCCTACCCTCTCAAGGACAACACCTCCCACCTTGTGTAGCCCTCGCAGGGAGGAGCTCCAATCCTGAGGAAATAACCCCGATCAATACTTGTGAGCCCAAACCCTACAAAGCTCATGTTGAGCCTCAGGATTTTCATACCCCCCCCAAAATAGCATCGAAATCAGAAAATCCATCGCAATACAGATAAGATTGGAAAATAGAGAAATCGTTAAGACTAATTATTAAGTAAAAACTAATTAGCATCGAAATCAGAAAATCCATCGAGGTACAAATAAAATTGGAAAAGGAAAATCGCCCAGACCGAATATACGATTTGATGATTTTGAAAATCCAGGTAGATAAACACAATAGAGAAACAATTATGATGTCCAACCGGACTTTTGACTCTGGTTTCCAGGACCCGAGGTTCAAGAAATCGCTCAGACCGTAAATCATGAAAATGCTCAGACAGTAAATCAGGAAACAAAAGAAATTCGTATCATGATTTTATCGTCAAAATCAGGATGATAAGTTGAAAAAAAAAAGATAAAACTACGGTGCAGTCAGGGATTGAGTTTGTAATTGCACTTGAGGCAAAACGGCCGGTAATGCTGAATGTATGTGACCTACGTTTCGGGTCCCGTGGGGGTGTGTTGTATTTACGAGATTGCCTGAAGTGCAATTACAAACTATTTTCGTGACTGCGCCGAAGTTACCCCCCCCAAAAAATAGGGAGACAAAATAGAAATCGATTATGATGTCCAAACGGACTTTCGACGTTGATTTTACATAAGACTCTCGATTAGGATTCAAAACTAGATTAACCAATCATAAGAACGTAATCAGTACTATCATCAACACAGACAAACGCGTTCGATTATTCCACACGACCCTAAGTATGACCACCTGACTAATCCAGGACGTAAAGATAAAACTTCAACAGTTAGATCAGCGATGAGGGGCGCAGCGCGACCGGGAGCGCTGCGCCCCGCCGATCTCAGCGACGGGCGACGGAGAAGCGGGCAGGCGCGGACAGCGCATGGCGACGAAGGGCAACGGGAGCATCAATGGGTGGAGCAGCGCGAAGGAAGAGGATGCGGCGCATGGCGACGGAGGGCAATGGGGAATAGCAGTGAACGGAGAGGCGCGATGGAAGCGGATGCGGACAGGGCATGTGACGGGCGGTGATGTAGGATGCGTCGCATGGCGACGAAGGGCGACAGGGAACAGCGACGAGTGGAGAGGCGCGAAGGAATGCGGCGCATGGCCACGAAGGGTGATGGGGAGCAGCGGCGGGCGGACGCGGGGGGTCGAGGGTGTGAGGACGACGCTTTGCCAAAACGACGTGTCCGATGGCCAAGATTCAATGCTCGTTGAGAGTTCTCCATCGCTTGCTGTTGGAGTCGTCATCAGCTGCCGGGCTCTCGTGAGGGTTTTCTTCTTGATGATATGCGAATAGGGCGAAATTTCGAAAGGGGCAACTGATTGGTGTTGGTGATGAGGTCTTCTCTCCTCTTTTCTTCAACAGGGTGGTAAGTGGATATGGACGGATGCTTGAAACCCCTGTGGCGCCTTGCCAACGGGTTTGGTGAGGTGGAGCCACACCGTTTTTCTGGTTTTCTTTTGGGAAACGGAAGATGGTCATCAAAGTTTTCGGTGCTAGCGTTGCTCAGAGCCTAGGTGCTAGTAATGGGAGGTGGTTCTCCTCCCCTGAAGATGCTGGGGTAGGGTTTGAGGGAGCTGTGGTAAGTTGGGGGCTGTTGAAGAAAAAGGGAGAGGGACTAACGAGGCCCAAAGCCAAATAACAGATTGTGAACTAGAGAGGAATCTGGAAAGTTCCAGAAAAGGATTCGCCCAATGAGCAGATCAAATAATTTCCACCCAAGGAAGACAGCACCAATACTGGCCCGGCAAAGCAGCTAGTAGCCGTGGGGAGTCTGGGTTGCCGAGACGAGGTTTCCCACCTTGCACCCTTGGACCTCTGTTAGGGACTGCCATCTTCCAGGCACCCTAGATCTCAATGGGTACAACCCAAGTTTGCTCTCTGGACCGCTAAGCGCTATTTAGTCGTGCCCTAGTTGGTCAGCAACGTTCCCACAACTATTTTTAGGCGGAGTTTCACTGGCGCATCAGGAGGCTATATATTCTCCTCGCCTATCTCATGGTCTCGCTGCCCTATCCTGCATCTCGATTCGAACTTCTGTCCGTATTTTAACAGTTCATGGGTGTACCAAACTGAGCTAAGGGAAAAAAACCAAAAAACCAAAAAAAAGTGAGCTAATGCCCGTTGGTGACGGGACCTTTTTGACTCCGCTTTGGGGGTGATTGCGATCAGGTGCATAAATCACCGGCCGTAATACGGTCAGGTACATTTAAGAAAGTGGTAGTGTCAGCATGGCCTTATCCAAAAAAACGATTCGCAGTTTGTTCCAAACTTCAACGACGCTGGACTAGAGATGATGATGGCCGGATTGGTCGTCAGTCGAAGTATGCCACGTCGTTTCATAAGAAACGGCTATGGCGGCCGGGAGGGAGGGAGCGATGGCGTGTGGATTGGCTGCTGGGAGCAGCACCATCGCCGCCGTAACTGCGGCGATCACTCAGCGGATGCCACGTGGAAGTCAGGCAGCCACTGCTGTCTCCTCCTTCGCCCCTACTACGGCCATTGCTCAGCGAATGCCACGTAGCGGTAAGTCATCGAATTGTGTCTCCTCCTCCAGTTCCCGAGAAGCGCCGAGCCGCAGGAACCATAGCCATAGCCACAGCCACAGCCACAGTCATAGCCATAGCCATAGCCATAGCCATAGCCAAAATGTGGTATCCCTGTCGTTGGGATCATCGAATGACATGTGCCACGTGGCAGGCGCTAGGTCAACCAATCAAGCGGCGGCCAGTCGTTCTCTCAATGTGGGCGACAGCGGCCTACTAGTGCGGGTCTGCTCGCAGCACCCCGCCGCACATGGCCTGCATAATTACAACGCCCCTTCCCCGCGCTCAACGGCCACGACAAACAAGAAGAAGACAGTGTCTGTGAAGGCATTATTCTCTCCCCCACCCCCTCCCCCTTCCTCACCCCCACCCCCACCCCCTCCTTCTCCTCCTCCGTCTTCATCGCCATCTTCATCCAATGGTGGCAACGGGAATGCTTTGACTGTGAGCGACGTAATGACCGGTACGAGGATTGTGTCGGTGAAGGCGGCGACCTCGGTAGACGATGCGCTGCAGTCCATCGTGGACCACGGGATCTCTGGCCTACCGGTCGTTGACGACGAGTACCGACTGGTCGGTGTCGTGTCCGACTACGACTTGCTAGCGCTGAACCCGGCAGCCATGTCCGGGGCTCATCGAGAGAGCACGATACCGGACGACCGCTCCATCTTCGCCTTGTCGTCAGGAAACGCCAGGTGGAAGAAGCTATGGCAGAAAATGGATGGGAAGACGGTGGGCGACGTGATGACGCCCAGCCCGCTGGCAGTCCGATCTACGGCCAACCTCGAAGATGCAGTCAGGCTGCTGTTAGAGTGCAAGTACAAGAGGCTTCCTGTAGTTGACGACAACGGAAAACTGGTGGGCATCTTCAGCAGAGCGGACGTCGTCAAACTGGCCTTGCTCCTGCGGGCAGATGCAGAATCAGGACCCGAAGCAAAACCACCTCCTCCTCCTTCCTGACAACAACACAGCACAGCACAACCTGTCCTCCCTCCCTCCCTCTCTCCCTCCCTCCCCCCCGCCCGGAGGCCCTCCCTGAGGGTGGACTGGCAAAATGATTGCCGTCAACGAAAAAAGAAAACGAAACGAAAACACAAAGGGTGGGAACTTGGGAGTGTTTTTTCATTTTTTTTTTTTTTTTATTCGATTTGACGGCCGT